TTATTATTATTATTATTATTATTATTATTATTATTATTATTATTATTGGGGGGCTGTGGCTGAGTGGTTAGAGCAGTCGTCCTCCAATGCAAGAGTTGGGGGTTCGAATCCACCAGCAGTCACATGCCGAAGTGTCCATGGGCAAGACACTGAACCCCTCATCGCCTCCGATGTGTGTCCCATCGGTGAATGAATGTGATCTAAAGCTCTGATTAGTCTCTTTAGAATGATTTGTTCAATTAGCTTTGTAGAGATCTAGTAGAGTGCTGCATGAATGGGTAAATGAGGACACAGATTGTAGTGTAAAGCGCTCTGAGTATCTTGAAATAAGATAGAAAGGCAGTCCATTTACCATTATTATTATTATTTATGTATGTACTTGAGTATGTCTTTATATATATATATATATATATATATATATGAAAAACAAGGAAGAAAACAAAGCAGAAAAGAGGGTGAAGGGTTAAAAGGTAAAGAAGGAGATAGGCATAGAGGAGAGAGAGAGGTATAAAGAGAACACAAATCAACATCATTGAACTCTTCCTGTAGACCTGCGGAAAGAGAAAAAAAACAAGACAAAACTGAGAAACCGCAACAACAAAAAACATATATAATGATACTTATAACATCATTAGAAAGTATTTTATACAGTATATGGTAATACAAGATATATTTAGTGGCATCCACAACCCTATTGAGTGTGTATCTGATAAACACCTGAATCTAAACACCTGCGTGTGCTTGTCACTATATGGTGTCAAATAAGGTCGTTTAGAATGAAATCGGCTCTGCCATGGACACCCAAATGTGACAGATTTGTACTCTACACTATGATTAAAGTGGAGTACAATATTACATAAAGTAATCATAACAGTATATACGGTATTGTATTCATGCATGATGTGATTATTGTATTTCATATTGCATCTTGTGATTAGGGTGAAGTAAAATGAATGAAATGTAAATGAATTCATGCTGCGTTCTGGGAGAGAGGGAAAAGGCAAGTTGAGGGAGCTGATATCTGGGGAGGCCTGACGGCATCCCAGAGAAATGCTGCATTTCCTTTGGAATGCTG